AAAAGATCTCTCTCAAAATAGTTTTCATCCCTCTCCAATAGACGTAAAGAAGAATTAAAATGGATAATTAGAACCAATATCACAAATAAGGGTTTAAATAAAGACTTGATCAGACTATTATTTATTCATAGTTAATTTCATTCTTGGTTCCCATATCATCATTGTTTATTCTGAATTCTATTTATTACATCGCCTTTAATCAGTATCCCTTGTTATTTAAAGTTTTAAATACTATCTATTTCTTGTCAGTTGTCCTCACACGGAAGAAGGCAGTTGTATTTGAAATATTTATCCACTGGTAATTGAGTGAGCAAAAAATTACACTATAGTTAATCTCCTCACTTGACTTTTGTTTGCCATTTAGGCATACTTCATTTTCCATCCCACACTCAAAATCTTTGTCCCCCATCAGTTCCCCCATGCCAAATATTTTAGATACGCAAGGGCATATATGGAAACATGTTATCGTAGTCTGGAGTTTTTCAATATAATTATAATTCCTTGTGAAAGTCAGCCATGAAAAGGAAAAAAGTGCTTCAACAGTCAGATGGCCCCCCCCCCCTCCCCACCCTAAGTTTTTTACAATTATATTAAAAAATGGAGAAAAAAGAAAATTACAATATATTCAAATTTGAGTCTGAGAGTGCCATTTCCACCCAGTAGTGGATTCAGAAGGGGACAGAGGGGCGGTGCCCCCCCACCACCTTACTGTAAGTTTTTTTTACAATTAGGCCTATATTAAAAAATGGAGAAAAAAAAGAAAATTACAGTATTCAAATTTAAGTCTTATACCCCTGTCAGACAGACCTGCAAAACGGTAATACCGTATTTCTCGAACGCCGGCATTCTATGTGAAAGGGTAAATACGCCTAAACGCCAGCTTCAGTTAGACCTCCTCAGGACCTAGTCTTAATACCGCATTAATACTTTAGCAAGTTTTGCCCAACTCGATGTGGAAGGGTACATGGTTCATTGCCGTCTTACGCACTGAGGCATAACAAATCAGACGGTCACACAGCAGCCATCAACCGCTGCTGCAGCTAACAAAGCCTACAAAACGCTAGCTGACGGTTCTTTAGACGCGAAAATCGCCTGCACCTAGCTGCTTGAAATTCAAGCCGGCCTCGCCTTAAACGGTTCCTAAATTCTTTCTCCACTTGAATGAAACACATTAGAAACCTTTTGTTTCTCAAATTTATATGTATTTCAAACATAAAAAACATTTGCAAAGCAGCAGATTTATGAATTCTTCTCCGGCCATATTGGATTAATGGAGTAAACAAAAAATTGCGCCCTCTTTGTTAACAAGCACAAGCTCCACAGACATCAAATACTCCATTCCGCGAGAACCCTTTCAGACAGGATATGGTATTATTACCAGATTTTAACTAGCTGTGTGAAAGGGTCTGCACCGGCGTGATTAGGGTATTATTGCGGTATTTTCTGTCTGAAAGGGGCTTTAGAGTGCTATTTCCAACCACCTAGAGGTGCAAAATCATAACTTTTCTAACCTCATCCTCAACCATGGTGGGGCTAAGGTGGGTGGACCCTCCACCTGTGAAACTTCCTCCCTGGGCCCCCTCTAGTTCGAATTCCTAGATCCGCCACTGCCACCTTTCCCCATGCTACTACAAACCATTAGTTTTCCCAACAAGACCTACAGTATCATACTGTACTGTAGTTGATGCTGACAATCCAAGGCTAATAATACAGAGGCCTATGTGGGGCTTACATTGAAGAAAGTATTGAAAGTACACAAGTTTGTTGGCCTGCAGCTGGTCTCAACAGATTGGAAATGACTATCAGCTTAAAAAGGTTGAATACTTGGATATTAGACCTATCCCAAAAAAGCACATAAAACTCATCTGCATTTCTTTTTTGCCGTCAGCACAATAAAATCAAATTTGGGTCTTATTCATTTTTTGTGTCTACTGCCCCCAACGGGGGTCGTAGACACTATGTCATGATGTAACAATTAAAGATGGCGGAAAAGGGTAAATCCGGTTTAGGCATGATGGGTACTACTACCATGAGGTAGGGGCGCTCTATTGACAATCGATAGCGTTCGGAACTCGAACAAAATGTGTTTATAGAGACGCAGCACGTGTTCGCCACGAACGCCTTTTACCGTCATTTGAAAGACGCCCTCTAGAACATGGTAGTACTCTTCGTGATCAACGATATAATGTGGTAACTCCCAAAGTTACTCATTTTTAAAGCGTTTTTTAGTGTAATATAGTAGTAGGCCTACACAGAATATTATGAAAGAAAATTTTCATTGAAAAACCAGATACACTACAATAATACACACATCTGCATATTGAAGAACATAAGATAAAATTTAAAAAACAAAAACTCCTGTATAAGGCAGTAGACACACGCTCTCGCTAGGAGCCTATTTTTTTCATGGTTAGGACTGTCTAAATTCAGGTAAACTAGCAGTTTTTGTATTAAAATAATAAGTATATAAAAATCAGGTTTTTCTGGCTTTAAAGGATGGAAGATACCTGTACACACGGCACCCTATACAGCAATCATGTTTAAAAAAAAACATGCTAAGAAAAACCTCATCAGGACGAATGTTATAATGACATTTCTTTGGCAATTTTGCTATGTACAGTAAACCTTTGGTGGCATTACAGTAGAGTTACTGTACAGGTAGATACTGTATGGCATCTATGCACAAATCATTCCACAACAGTATAACAGTTGTTTTGATAAAGATTATGTAAATTTGGATTTTAAAGGGGAGTATGATTTGTTGATGATATTGGTAAGGTCCAGTGTCCGTAAGTTACTGTGTGCATTACAAGGCCAAGTAGTAACATATCTCAGAGACTGTCAACCTTGGAGAATTTTAAAATAGAAAGCTTTTGCCGATCTAATTTAAACCTAATTTCATGGGCTTCCTATAAATAGACAAAACTGACGACTTGAGTCATGTGACACTGACAACTAGCGGATGCATACCTGCGGCCAGTTTATGTACAGTATGCATGAGACTGTGAGTCTTCGATCGGCGAGCTGCAGTTGTACAGTAAAGGCTATGATTCGTAAGCTACCTCAATTTTTAACAAAGTACAGTAAATTATAACTTCCAAAGTCTATGCACTTGTATTTTTTAACAATTGTATTGCCTTTTCATAACCTTGCCATTTATTTCTCAACTAACCCTAAGGGGATAAGCTGTAGCAGCATTAACATTTCCTATATACTCTACTTTTATTTTACACTAATCGCACTGCAAGTTTATAATACCCACAAATTACCACATTACCAAACTACCTGTACAGTAGGCTTACTAACTACAGTACAGTACAAGTTCCCAGATGCCAATTGTCTGTTGGGTGACACTAACAATATTATATTAGTTGCTTTATTAGTTTTAGTTGCTTTAGTTTGTTAACCATTACTCTAATTTTATTTACTACTGTGTATTTACTTACTTCATACCTTACATTTGTTACAATGCATTAAACTGTAATTAATGTATGGAAGGGAGGGGGAGGGGTGGGTAGATGGGGATTTCATTGAATTAAGTCAATCTTATTTTAATACAAATTTATTATTGTATTATTGGTTTTTTTTTAAATTAATTGTATTATCAATTTATTAGAATTTTTTTACAATCATCTCATTACAATGCACTGGAACTTCATTTAACGTATAATACTGTAGAAAGGGTGTGGTTGAGTAGATGGGAGAATTACTGAATAAAGTATGAATTTACCTTGTTTCACTGCATTTTTGAATTTTTATTTGTATGAACTGTTTGTTTTATTTTGGCCTGTGTGGGTCAAATTTGAAAAATGGGGTTAGTTGATTGAGTACTGCAGGGAGGGATGTATGTGTACACAAATGTATTATTATATTATTGTATTGCTCTATTGTATTTTTGAATTTTAAGTTCATTACCCAATTTCTCAGTATTTTTAGTTACTTTAAAGTTTGTATGTTTTATTAGTATTAAGTGTACAGTAATTAAGTGACTCATCAGTGTATTTATTTAAGTTGAACGCACCACCCTTAAGTGCTGCCGACCTCTAAAGGCGTAGGCCTATGTTCACAAAGTAAATACAAAAATTATAGGAAGGCATGTACTGTAGCACACTAGCTAGGAAGTCCCTCGTCATTGTTGTTTCCTATGTGTGTGAGTGATGAAGTTCCCATAACCATTGTCCCCCCCCCACAATAAATCATAATTTTCACCATAATGAATGAAATGTTTGCACCTTTCCAGTGCCGCTGCATCTAGCCTAGGCCCAACGAACGAGACCAGCGTTCTTCCTTTTGAAAAGGTGTGACTGCTGTGCTGTGAGGGTGCCATTTCTGCTGCATTACTTGAGGGGTTATGGCCTAGGCTACCTAGCCTAAGCCTAGTAGTAGGCTAAATTAAATGGAGAGCCTAGCCAAGTCCTACTCTAGTCTAGGCCTAGCCTAGCCTAGGCCCTACTACTAATAGGCCTATAACTCTTCTATAATAAGATAGCTACTCTAGGCCTAGCTAAGCAAGACCAAGCCCTACTACTACTAGTACTAGTATTAGCCTAGTAAAGTAGTAGTACTTAGACTAGGCCTAGTAGTATTAGTAAGCTAGGCCTATGCCCTAGGCCAGGTTAACTTAGTTACAGTAGGGTCAAGCCAAGCAAGGTAGGCCTAGGCCTCCCTACCTAGCCTATTTCTATTTTATAGTTGTGTAGGATACGACAGTCCATACACAAATGTATATTATATAATATAATTAACATAACCTGGTTGTTATAGGAATAAGGTTCAACTGTGATCTAAATGCCTACTTACAGTACTCTCAAGTGACAAGTGTAACCCACCACCACCCACTTTACAAATTAACAAGGAACCAAACAATCAATACGGTGATGAAGCCGGTCGACAAAACGGTACAAAAAGCATCACTGGAAAGTCCATATATAATCATTTGTGATGGGAATGCACACTCTTACATGATATTAATTATTGCTTTTAACCAAACAACAACCTACCGACAATATATTCTACGTGTTTTCGTCGGGGTACATCCTTTATTTTAGCGCTAATTTTTATACCATCCAAATGTATTCCAAAACACTGTTCTGTTCAAAGCCTACACAATTACAGGTCTTCTTGGCGGCCATATATAAGAATTTGCGACGGGTTTCGATTTTGTTTTGAAGGGCGCCTCTCGAGTAAAAAAAAACTACACTCAGTTAGATGACGTCACAACATTTAGTGGCAGTGAAAGGTCATGGGTCATTATTTCTCATACATTTTTGGCCTTAAATTGGGTCATTGCGTCTGCGCACACCGGAACACCTACTGTGAAATTGCGATATTTTTTTTTTAACCGTACATTTGCATGAAACTCCGCTGCCGCCTCGGATTGACTCGACACGAAGATCAACTACGGGGCGTCAACAAATCATTTGAAAACACATGTTTTTGATTATAACCAAAAACGTGGAATTTTTGGTACATAGAGAATTAAAGCCGCTTCTGAATAGGGAACTAGATTTTGGCGTTATACAAATATTGGATTGGATTGGTTTTGATCGGTTTCCACAAACTGCATACAGTATGTCAACAATAATACAATATGATTCTCACTCGCTACCCGGTCATAGGAGCAGTTGCCTGAATTTGTTAAATATATGTTTTTGATGGAGTTTGTTCTTTTGGTTATCAGATTTTGTTCCACCATCAAAATCATTTGGTCGTGTATTATTAATTGTGGCATAAATATGAGCTTGAAATATCATTAGAATATTATAACAATGAGAGTATCAGATTTTGTTCCACCATCATTTTCGTTGTGTTACTACAGAGTTTATAGTGGATACCTCCTCCATGGTTAAGAAGACTCTTTAAATATTTTCACTATCCAGTGGCGTATCCATGATTTAAGGAAGGGTGCTGAAAGAGAGTCCAAACCAGGTCAATGCCACCATTGGAGTAGACTTGCCACAAGTCTCTAATTTATGGATTTTTCGTAGTACATTAGCGCATTTCGGAAAGCGCCACCAGCGTCAGTTTATGTTGAGAAACTTTTTTGCCAGAAAAAGTATACTATGGAACGCCATGCAAATAAGTAATATGGAACGCCATTTGTGCCAAAATCGATTTATTCTTAAGCATTTCAACTGATTAAGACAAAGATTAGGGACTGGAACCCAGTCTACCCTTGGAGCTGAGGTGCGAACATTTTCAGTACCCTTTTAAATTGACACATTGTTAAAAAATAATTAATTGTGACATACTGTACATTTGAAATGAAATATTAGAATAAATAGTAATAATATAAAAAATAATAATAATAATTATTATTATTATCATTATTATTATAAGTCAATGGTGACGTCATCACTGAAACTCCCAATATTATATAGATTTTTATTCCCAACCGTGCGCGATTTTTTTTCCCGTACGAAACATTACATGAAACTTCACTCGGGCCATCTCGGATTGACTCGACTGAGTTCGATACGAGGAACAAGAGCAGACACTTCGCAATGTCGTGACGCTCGAGTTTTACTACAGTATTATTGCTCTTTCTATGTTCCTACGGTAGGCCTATGATATCTTACGGATTTATGGGATGTAGGCTACGTGTAACTGTCGACCTTCTTGGATGTTATTAAATGTTAGTATAATATCTACAACAACAACAGCTAGTACCCCCTTTTGTAAAGTGTAGATAGGTACAGTAATACCGAAAGAAAGAGGATAAACTATAGGCCTAACTACAGACTCTTAAGTCTACAAGGCCCCTCCTTAAATTATAGGCCTAGGTCCCTGGGTCCATGCTGACACCAACAGTCACGCTTCACATACAAACGTCGATTGAAATTTTGAAGGAAAAAAAATGGGAAAAAATTAAAGCATGAAATAAAAAATAGAGTGCATAAGAGAATAACTATTAAATAAATAAAATGTACCATTCGGCGGCGTTATTGAACTTGGCCAATCCTTGTAATGTAATTATAATGTTAAATAATAATAATAATTTCAGCATTAATTACCTTGACCTAAGCCTTGTAATGAAGAACCATACTACTAGGCCTATAACTAGCCCAGAGGGAATATCTTTTGTGTTATTTCCCCTTAACGTAGATTTTTTAATTGTTCTCTAATTCCTCCATTGTCTAAGTTCCCCTTAAGGTAGACCTACAGGTTGGTTTTAGTAACATAATAATTAATAATAATAAATAATCATTTCGGCATTACTTGTAATAACTTGGTCTGGCCTTGTAATCAAGAATCTGCAGATTAGGTACCGTACTACATGTCTGATAATAACTAGGCTTAATAGGCCTCATTTATACATTCATTTTGGTGCTCTGCCATTTTGGCAGGTCTTATGGCATCCAGTATGTTAGAGTAGACCGTGGGTTGAGGATCGAAAACGTTTAATTCTGTGACCCACCAATCCGGGCTACCTGGCTTTTGCACAAAAATGTCAATACTATTAAATTGTAACATAATTTGATTGTCGGCAATCGTGAATTTGGGGAAACTGTAACCAAAAATGAGAACTTATATCAAAAGTTGCTACATAACTATAGCCAATAAGAAGACGACTAACAATGAAGTTTGGCTTAGCTGCAAGGCCCTCAGCCAATCACAAACTACCTTCTATGCCGTTTGTCCAATGTAAATAGTAAACAACACACTCCACTTGCAAGTATGGCGTTCGACAGAAGTTCTTCAAATGATAAATCTGAGCCGGTTTCTGGCATATTTTTGTGATACATGTTGTAAGAACCTAGAGTATGGTTGTGTCATTAAGCGTAAACAGCTTAAAGAAATTTAAGGATGTGAAACTCTGTGGAAAACAACAAATAAGAGTCCTCAGTAAGGCCTATTAAGTTTCCGTCGAAGCTGATGAATACAATAGCCTACATATATAACGAAGGGGATCAGGGATGGTGGTGCAAGTAGTAGTAGTAAAAATTGCACCGAATCTGTTTAAAGGTACGTGTGTGGTTACATATAACGGTCAAAATGGTATGGTATGTTTTACTTAATTGAGAAGCACTAAGCGTCTCTCTATCACACCACACACGCAGACAGGAAGCCCTGCCTTTTCCTCAAACTGGGATACTATCGACAGCAAAATAACCACAGAGTACTGTATTGACGTGAATCAAATACGATGATGTTATATTGTAATAAGCATATTGAGACAATAATGTTGGCAATGAATCGACCCAGCATAAACAACTGACCATGAAGACAAATCAAGAATAGCCATCCACAATTATATAGCAACTATTTACTACTGTCTACCAAGAACATTTACTACACAAATTGAATCAATTCAGTTTTCTGGGGTGGGGGATGTGCCCTTCAGTGACTGTGCTTAGACTAAGTAATTCAGGCTTAATTGAT